GGGGGGGGGGGAGAGTTTTTCAAAAGAGCGAAGAGTATAAGGCTATAAGCTTATAGACAACAGACACACAATAAAATAAAATAAAATTACAAAGGAAAGAGACTCCTAAAAGCCTATTTCACAAGCCAATAGACAAACTAGTATTATTTTTTCATAAACAATTAAAAGGTAAGAACTTAATAACGAAAAACACGTATCTTAACAACCTCAAAAGAAAAATAGGAAAAGAAAAGAGAGGTGCTTAATTATCTAAACTTTCAAAAAAAAAAAGGACAAGATAAGAATGAATAATAAAAAAAGGTGATTAGAGTGATGACTAATTGGAACCATAATTTAGTACACAAATAGTTTGAACAGTCTCCAAGATTTAATAATTGTCGCAATCTCCAATTTCCATGACAACTTCCTAAAAGTTCTATTCCATAAAAAAAATAACCATTGGGGAAAATAAACAAATACCTAACGCACAAGACACGCTCTCTTCTTCTTATTCCCAAAAGAGAGCTGACTTTTCTTTTGAAGAATATAGACTTAAAACTAACCAACCAACAAATAAATAAATACCATCAAAGTGAGCGATAAGTACTTCTTTATTTTTAATTAAAGAACTCGGATTGAAAAACTAGACATAGAGTCGTCTTTGGTATGCATACTTTATCCCACTCTCCCCACCAAAGTGGAAATTTGTGGGATGCTATGGGTCTCTTGGTATTACACCTCGACATGGTCGGCCATACGGCCACGGGCATAAATCGCGTCCTCGTCGGCTATCGTTGATTGTTTTGGTCATAAATTTGGAGTTTTTTTAGCGGGTTATCTCCTCTCTTGTGATCTTGTCTAAAAGAACGAAAGGGAAGCCCGGGATCAAAGTGAGTTCATTGTTGCCTGTATAGACACCATTAGAATTAGGCGAGATACAAAGAGGGTACCGGATAGCGGATTGGAAACCAAAAATTTTTTTTAAAAAAAAAGTAAAATTAATGAAACCACATTTAACCATTTTTATGAGTACACAACAACCTTATTTTTCTTGATCATTTGATCAAAAATCCAAATAATCAACGGCCAATAACAAAAGAAGGATAACTGGGACCTACATTAGACAATGAATTTATAAAAAGCTTAGCTTGTGTTCAGACTTAGCAAGACCTCAAAAAAGAGAAGAAAAGAAAAAGATCAAAAGGAAACACAACAAGATTCAATTTTTTTGAGACCCAACACCCTCCAATTCCACTTTTCTTCTTCATTTTCCATTTCTGGACCAAAAATCTTCGAAAAATATTCAAAACCCATCTCTAAAATCTTCCAATCTTCAATACCCAGATCATAGATTTTTTAAAATTTGGATATTTTCTTCTATATTTCTCTCTAACCACCATTTTCCTCTGTTTTTTTTCTTCTTTGTGATCATCATTATGATAGGTGTCTTTTCCACGTGATTTGGCATTTGAGGCTGTGTCCTCTTAATTGTATAGAGTCTTGAATTCAAAATTTCAGTATAATTAATTGTTTGTTCTTAAAAACTCCTCTTTGATTACTACCTACTTTAATCCTTTTCTTGAAGTTATTGCTTCTATATCCTTATTTTCTCTGTTTGAATATTTTCCAAGTTAGGTGCTTTCAAATTCAACTTTGGATTTCAAGTCCCCTGTTTTTACTTGACTCATAGTATCAGATACTGATATTTGATTGATGGGGATTCAGAAAGACAGGGTGAAATTCAATGTTGGTGGTAGAATTTTCGAAACTACAGCTACAACTTTGGCAAATGCTGGCCGGAATTCGCTCTTTGGAGCCATGTTTGATGATGATTGGAACCTAAATTCTGATGCCACAAACACTGAACACTTCATTGATAGGAACCCTGATTGTTTCTCAGTCCTTCTTGACCTACTCAGAACAGGAGAGCTTTATATACCACAAAATCTTCCTGAAAAGTTGTTATACAGAGAGGCTATGTATTATGGTCTTTTAGACCATGTCAGGTCAGCTAAGTGGGGTCCATTTGATGGAAACAGACTCGGGCTGGCCAGGTCAGTAACTGGCCAGGCTCCGGGTGATGGCACAGCCATCCGGGCTGGCCCGGATGGCGGGTGCTGTGTGGCTCATGGTAGTATGGTTCATGTCTATGATTGGATGTTAGAAGAGCACCCTGCAATTAATCTTGATTACCAAAGGGTGAATGATGCCGGTTGGATTGATTCTGAGAACATAGTGTTAAGTGCTTGTGAAAGATTAGGTAAAGGGGATGGAGGCATGGGTTTGTTTAGTGCATCTACTGGGGAGCTAAGGTACAAATTTCATGTCAAACATGAAAACCAAGTGAAAAGTTATACAGCTGGTGCATTGAGTTTTAGCTCAGATTATAAGTTGTTCTCTAGTTGTAAAGGTAGAAGCAATGAGTATGGTATTGGTGTATGGGACCAAGTTACTGGAAAACAGATAGATTTTTTCTATGAGCCACCTGGTTGGTCTCTTGGTGATGCTGACAAGTTACAATGGTTACATGGTACTAACTGTTTGTTGGTTGCTACTTTGTTTCCAAGGAAGGATAATTGTTACATTAGTTTGTTGGATTTTAGGGACAAGAGTATGGTTTGGTCATGGTCTGATGTAGGTGCGCCTATAACGGATGAGAGAAGAGTTAGGGATGCGATAGCAATGGAGGAAACAAGCTCCATTTGTGTGGTGAATGAGTATGAAGATTTGGGGTTTATGGATTTGAGGAGGAGTGCTGGAAGTGTAAGGTGGAGCTCAAGAAGTAGGTTGATGAAGGGGAAAATGCCGGATGAGCCGTGTTATCCTAAACTGGCATTGCACGAGGGGCAATTGTTATCGTCGATGAACGATTGCATTTCTGTGTTCTGTGGCCCTGATTATGTTCTTACATCAAGGCTTCGACGTAGCTATGGTGGTTCAATTTGTGATTTCTCAATTGGGGGTGATCGTCTTTTCGCTCTTCATAGTGAAGAAAATGTATTTGATATATGGGAGACTCCTCCTCCACCAATTGTATAACAATAGCAACAAACCCAGTGAAATCCCACATGTGGGGTCTGTCGAGGGTAGTGTGTACGCAAATCTTAATCCAACCTTGAGAAAGTAGAGAAGTTATTTCCGACAGACCTCCACCAATTTTATGATATTTATGTTTTGTTATCTATAGATGAGTGGTTTTTGTTCTCTTTTATTCTTCAGATTGTTAAGAGTGATGAATCAAGAAACTACAACAGATGCTTTTAGGATAGAGAAACTAAGTAGAAATCAGTGTGTAATACTATTTAGATTTGTGAGTTTGTGTATACATTTGAAACTGACATACATATTAAGGAAACTGATTGCTTAACAATCAATATTTCAACTTTACCTTTGCCTTGCTTCTAATAGATGCATTCTTTCAATTTTTAATGCACCTGTCAGTAGATATATTCAATTTCAGGCTAAACTGAAAACTTCAATTCATTTTTGTTATCTTCATTGGACCACCTTATGATAAAGTACTACCAAATCTCTTTTGCATAAACCCTATCCAACAACCTTCTTTTGACCTAAGCTTTAACAAAGATTATTCTTCTTTATGTAGTTGTACAATACAGTGTAACTTAAAGTTACTAGCAAGATTCCAGATTTCCCACACTTAAAAGAATTGGGGGGTGGGGGTGGGGGGGTATACCATTAGCATGTGAGCAGTTGTAACTACTTAGCCAGACTGCAGATTATTTATTAGTGATTCATCTAAAGAAAAGGAGGTTAAAGTTTTTGCTTTGTTTTTCCGGATCAGAGGGTATTTCAGTCTCTGTTGATCTGTTCTTTGAAACATAAGGGCATCTTTTTCTCTCTTTCTTTGTTTTTCTAAAAGGAGCCTTGGTATAACTGGTAAAGTTATCGCCATGTGACCGGAAAGTCACGAGTTCGAGCCGTGGAAACAACCTCTTGCAGAAATGTAGGATAAGACTGCGAACAATAAACCTTTGTGGTCCGGCACTTCCCCGAACCCCGCACATAGTGGGAGCTGGGTGCACTAGGCTGCCCTTTTTTGATTTTTACATGGTTCAGCTTGCACGCACCTTGACTATTTCATATGATATTTGCTATTTCCCACCAACACGCAAGTACCAGGTAATTCTACCCACTAATGCTCAAGCGAATGAAAAAAAATCACTTAAAGTTTGTTTTTGCCGTGAATTGGATTCTGATTTCCCAGGATTTTTATCCTTCATTGACCGTTAGGTTACACCCACATATGCTAAGAACATCTTTTTCCTCTTTTGCAGTTAAAACAGGATAGCTGGAACTGTAGCATAAAAAAGGGGGAGGTTACTGTAAAAACAGATCATATCAACAAATGCTGACTCTTGCCTTTTAGTCTCTGCCATTATTTGTTTAATGTAACCACTAATCACTTCTTTATGATTAATAATATTCATCGAATGGCACGCCGCTAAAAAATTTTCAAAATTATATTAATGCATATCATTAAATTAAGTTCAAACTTCTATAATAGGAGCAAATCCCCATTTAAGAAACCCCACAAACAAAATGAAAATTCCTGCACTCTTTTGACTTTCGCCTGCTTATTTCAAGTTTCAACGACAATCTAGAAAAGCATTATCTCAAAACAAGGATCATTAAACAAAACAACTCCTAATATTGTTTAATGTATGATTCCTCCTGTTTAAGACAATACTTTAATGTAAGTAAATCAGATTTACAACCTGTTAGCATGAGGTTTAGATGTCCAAAATGCAAAATAACAATAGACAGATAACTCAATAACAACAAAGACAACAACAAATACAGGGGTCTGGGGAGGATAACGTGTGTACGCAAATCTTACCCCTACCTTATGAAGATAGAGAGGATGTTTTCGATAGACCCTCGGTTCAAGAACAGTGAAAAGGAAGCAATAAACAATTGCAACAACAAGGTAATAGGACAACGGAAACAAATGGCACAACGAATAGACGAATAACTCAGCGTAAGAGAAATCACTGTCAACCATCTATTGAATCGACCTCGAAAAGAAGAATATAATGAAACTTTGGTATTAAATAAGCAACATGTTATTCATGGGTACTTATTAATAAAAGATGACAAAATGTGATTTCCTTGAGAAATTTAAATTACTCTATACTACACTTACACTACCAAGAAACTTCCTGAGAAGATATTTCTCACTCTGATGTGTTAAAACAAGTCTTCCAAAATTGGTGAGAACTTGAAATTTGGGTCCGGACCGCTTAACCGGACCCAAAAAATTGGAAGGATACCTTCCCCAAAGAATGAAGCAAGTGAAAATTAACCTCACACAAATCAAGCATAGTCAGGCATTACTTTTTTAAGGAATGTAATCGGCTGGGCTTCTTCAGGGACAACTTCGTCAAAGGCAACGTAATTCTGCTCCTTATCGTACACGTGACATATTGTCAGTATTGTCTTCATTAGACGCCAGTTCCATGAAGCCTCGTTCAGGTACTGTTAGGTGTCAAGAACAAAACACAAGATTGTCAATAACCAAACAAAACGATTGTAAATACACACACACAGAGGTGACAGTGCTTTCACATCTTATTGCGCATATTTAATAGATATCTGACGAATTTTATGTTGTTAAGGAAAACAGGTGGTCTAAGTTCATAAAGCACATTGCAGAAAATGTCAAGTGCCAACCTCTAGAGGCGGAGCCAGGATTTGCAGTTTGTGGGTTCTGAATTTGCCACATAATTCATAGTTCGTCTTAGTTACTGGGTTCGTGATTAAATATTTATACATAGTTAATGAATTTCTTAATACAAATACAGAGTTTGAGTGGGTTGTGAGCACCCTCCACTTCCAACCAAGAGGTTGTAAGTTCGAGTCACCCCAAGAGCAATGTGGGGAGTTCTTGGAGGGAGGGAGCCAAGGGTCTATCGGAAACAGCCTCTCTACCCTATGGTAGGGGTAAGGTCTACGTACAAACTACCCTCCCCAGACCCCACTAGTAGGATTATACTGGGTTATTGTTGTTGTTGTAAATACAGAGTTTAAGTAAAAGTCACTCGGTTCAGCCGAACCCGTATCGAATAGGTTAGCTCCACCACTGCCAACCTCCCCACCTCCACCCCCCAATGTCCCAAGGACGAACTAAGTAAAAAAATGATACCCGATTAAAACGTCAATAAAAGAAATGAAACATTGTCAGAGAGAAAATTGCTGGTTCATAATACCTTTCCCCAATTCTGTTGGAGAGATTGATGAGCTGCCCGTAGATTATAACTCGGTATTCTGGGGGATATGTGGTGGGGGATATGAACATTGATATCATGACAAAGAACCTCAATCCTGTAGAAAAGAAAGAGCAAAGAGCAGACAAATGAACATCTAAGACAAAAATGGGAAGAGAAACGCAGAGAGAACAGTTCCTTAAAGCAAACTTTAAAAAACAAATAGGAGAAGCATTATCATACGCAATCAACTATGAAAGGTTAATAAATTAGACTAATTCCATCTCCGTTCTCAGGATTTTCAAATTGTAGACCCAATCGGGTGAGCGTGAGAGTACCAAGGGCAGTGTTTGCACACCTCAATTATTCCACGGGAGTACCAGCACAGGTATCAGGTAACTCAGTTCATCAAGATTTAGGCAGATAAGAAAAGGCCACCTAGTTTTTTTGTCTTATACTAGGATGCGTACCCTGACTCCCATGATTTCCCTTTCAGCTTGAATTACATAGGTCACACCTTAGGTGCAGTGTGGATTTTACATTTGAGAAAACCTTCTAAAAAGGAAATGGATCTTGGGCCTAACTCAACCCTAAAAGCTCACTCATGAGGTGAGGACTGCCCAAGCCATATAAAGAGACCAAGTCCCACATCTCTTAGCCGATGTGGGA